CGATTGTAAAGATATACCAGCAGATTGTCTTGCACAGCGCGACCAAAGATTGCTGTTAATATTTAATCCGCGACTACACTTATTTTCCCTGATTTTGAAATCAACTTTAGAAAAATGTTCCACCCCTAGGCACAGTGGAAGCGGAGAATTTTAAATACGCCAACCAGGTCTTCTGATGACTGTTTCCTGAGGGCCATGCTAAACAAGCCACCCCCCTATCCAAGTCATCCAGCAAGTCTCTAGCTCCACCATGTCACGTGCTAGCCCAGCAGTTTAAAAATTCTGTCACACGAGACTCACTCTACCTGAGGCAGAAAGCAAGCAACAGCGGCGACGACCGTCTCTCCCCCCTCCACACCACTTGTTGGCATCAGCGGCACACCCACTCACCCGCAAGACCACAACCATTTTTTCCCTCCCCTCTCTCCAGGTTGCCCACCCTCCACAGCACGACGCCGCGCCGCCCGCGGAAATCGATGTGTCAGTGTCTAATGCCGTCTGATCAATACCGATGAACAGACAATCGGTGTTTTTATTTCACCCCAGGGCTAGCAGTCATGTCCTGATTATGCCGACCAAAAGCGGGGGGCGGGTGTCGGTGGGTCGGGACATTCTCCCCCGGGGGGTGGGTGTCGGAACACCTTACGGGTGTGGTCTGATTATAGTCGAAACACCACTAACGAGAAGGTATGTAACTCAGGAGAGTTCCCATGGAAAGGGACGTAACTCAGGAGAGTTCCCATGGGAATGGACGCAACTCAAAAGAATTTCAAAAGGAAGATACGCAACTCAAAAGAATTTCAAAAGGAAGATAGATACGCAACTCAAAAGAATTTCAAAAGGAAGATACGCAACTCAAAAGAATTTCAAAAGGAAGATACGCAACTCAGGAGAGTTTCAAAGGGAAGGGATGTAACTAATAAGAGTAAATCAAAAATTCCAAATGAAAGGTATATAAGTCAGTAAAAGTCAAGATCTGCAAGTCAGAATAGTTTCAATAGGATAAATAAAATAATATCGCCCCAATAGGGGTGGGGTGTAAGGAGTATCATAAAGGAGAGAGAATGTAAGACGTCAATATGCGGGATATTAGGTCGGAAGTCGGGACACCGACGCGGGGTGCGAGAAAGAATAGCACGGAACCTACCCGACTAATCCGTTCCCCCACCGGACGCATCAATCTTGTCTAACCCCGTAATCAAGTGTGACTCGACTATGTAAGACGCGATACGATAGTATAATCGAGTGAGAGTTCAACACACGGTAGACAACTACGTGGTATCACACAGGACTAGAACGGGAAAACGATACATTAAATTCCTCAAAAAACGGAAAGCTTTTTAGTAGCTTAAGAATGGTATGGGGACGGCATGGCCTAGCGGTAGAGCGCTAGACTGCTAACCCTAAAGTCTCGAGATCAAATCGGTTTCAAGTTAGAACATCCATGAGTCTATTCAGCTAACTCACGTCAGGGAAAGTAAAGACGGCTGGGCATAGTCCTGACCACATTATATCCTTATACATCGAGGTCATTTAAAACAGATGAACTCTACTTGATCTGCCCTATGCGTCTTGGGCACAGACGAGATGATGATTTGGATTGAGGAAGGAGAAGGGGGGGGGTGGAAAGTCGATATCTTACACAATTTTTATTACATCCGTTTATCAAGTCACAAAAAAGTACCACACTAGAATAACGGGTATAATTAAAACAAAGTAGGCCTATTTCGTAGCCTCTGCTTGTAAACCAAGCAGAGAAGATAACGCATTTTACCACATAACTATTCAACTATTCGCCTGAACTACCGTCACATAAACAAGAGGAATTCTCGAATCACAGTGATTTGTTGTCATCCCGAGAGATAGAGAGAAGAAGAAAAAGTAGAACGGATTAACTAAACTAACCACATTATGGATACAGCAACACAAAGAGATTCCATCGCTAGTGTTATGTAAAGCAAGAGAATTAGGTACAGATTCACGGCACCGTCTGGTGTATAATATCCAACTTCTGTTATAGATTGCTCTACGGATTACGTCTTGCGGTATAATTTTTTTTCGTACAAGTAAGACATTTGAAATAGTAATATAGACAGAAAGTATTGGTTCAATTTAAACACGGGTACGTACTAAAGTCCTAGAAAAGGTAGTGATTCACATTGAACAAAAGTCTTAAAAAGCTGGTTCAAAATTTTTGTTGCCAGATAACAAAATTGAATATTTTTTTAACATATGAGAAATGCGTACACAATAATTTCCGGATGTATTAAGGCTAGAAATATTTAAAATAAAAGAATTATTAGTAATATAATAGTAATTTAGCTAGGTCTAACACTTCTAACTTTAATTCAGGTTAGTAGAGTCAGGGTGTGTGATAATAGGGGATGTTATATTGTTTAATGTAAATAAACTACTTGGCTATATCGCTAACCGGTATTGTGTATTTTATTATGGAAAGCCATAGCTGTGACTTTCATTGTTTTACTTTCCCTGGCCACTCCGGCTCAGTTTCTTCCAGGCATATCTTAAGGGACTCGCCCCTCCCCCCCCCCCCCCGAACGAAATGAAATTTATATAGAAAATATATACTTTTAACAGTGTCCGCCCCCCCCCCTCCCCCCCCCCCCCCCGAAGAAAAAAGTCTGGAAGAAACACTGCTCCAGTTGACTTCAAGGAGGGGTTGAGGGCGGTTTTTTTAAATATTTGAATTGATAAAATAAGTAAAAAAGGCTTTTCAACGGCTTATGTTAAAAAAAAGTGTAATCGATGATTAACAAACGGCTTTAAAATTTTAAAATGTAATTATAATTGTATCGCTTGCCATATAAAAAAGTATGATTACATAGACTTTTCAAGTTTATCATGAAGAGATGCTAGAGACCAAGTCACACGTAGCCAACACTGCTTGGTAGCCAAGAAGAGCTATAAGCTGCTTCTCGCTACCGTCGGTGTGTGTATATGCGTGTTAACGGATAAACTAATGCACACATGTACCTGTGTGTGAAGACAAGTATTTTATTGTCTGCAACAGCTTTTTAACTAGGTCGTTAGTGACGTCAGGTAAAGTTAACCGACTGTTACAGGCCTCTCACATGTCGTCACAAATAACAATCCGCCACCGATAGAACAACGTCATAACAGTAGGGTCCAAGGTGGGCGGGGGGGGGGGGGGGGGGGGAAGAGGGGGTGCGGTCAGCACCCGATGACACCAAATCAATAATCTTAAAATTTAAAATTAAAACAATGTTTTACACAGTTTAAATAATAAAATGGAGGAGGGGGTGGGTGAGACTAAACCGAATAATGCAATAAAGTTGTAGAGGGGCGGTGTTACAAGTTCAGTGACAACCTCAGTTACAGCACCGGGTGATGCGCGACATTGTGACGCCACATCGTCATATGGCTCCTTTTGTTCCCTCACCCAGTCTACTTCTATATTTTTTAAAGAAAGACAAAGTTTATGCGACAAATTTCTGAACCACATCCATCCCCAACATAATCAGGTCAGCCCCCCCCCCCCCTACTCGACGCGTGAAGTCTCTAAAACTTAAAGACGATTGCTAATAAAGATAGTACACCTATACCTTGGCAAAACAGTAATAAATATAAGCGACTTTTAAATCGCAAGAATATGCTTTGAAATAAAACCAATCGAAACAATAATAGCAGTGTTAGAATGCACGCATATAGGCTAAAACCCATGGCTACGACTAAATGGTGTTTAGAAATAAAGAACTAAATCGCTGTAAAAAATGGTGTCTATTACAATAAGGTGTAGTAAAAAAAAATTAAAAAAAAAAAAAAAAAAAAAAAAAAAAGCCAGCTTTTTCCGAATGAAAATACCAATAAGGTGAAGGGGTAAAAAGCTGATCAGAAGCAATCGATGGGCAACACATTTTCAATACATCTAACGATCTGGTCTGGGGCTGAGAAGAGATCATTAACACCACGTGACCTGGCTGATTCATCACCGGGGGTAGTCTACATATTTTGGAGGTCTGCTCCTCCCCTATACACCCACTCCATCTCCTTAAAAATCTCGTATGTTCACATTTTCTTAACAATCTCGACCTTCATATTTCCTGCACTAACTCTATTCACCATTTTCTTATATTTTCATATCCCACGTTCACATGTCTAGACAGTTAATCCGATAACCTTTTCAACCCATTCACAATTTTGTCGTTTTCCCCGGCAGTGATCTACAGTTTACATAGTTGACGTAGAACGAATATCATAGTCCGAACTGTAAGTCCCTTATATTAATTTACGATGGCGTCTAAAAGAATGCAAGGGAAATAACCATGAAATTGTTATCGGACTTATCGGAAATATTGTTGTGACAATGTTATTTCTTTAAGATAAACATAAAAACAGCATATAATTTTTTAATATAACCCCCATATCTCCCATATGACCATCCTATATGTAAATAAAAGGTAGTATTTTTAAGGGGTATCAGAAGATAAATCTATGGACATAATAATATACTCAACTAAAGAATAGGTTAAGGATAAAATAAATAACCCTTAAAAAACATACAAAGACTGAGCTTGATGTTAAAGAGTAATACTTATGAAAGATTGTTGTAGCATGTAAGAAAGTCTCTGAATAACGACCATACTACTCTTATATTGTCAGATGCAAAATTTAAAAAGTGGGGTTAAATAGAAAGGTAGTTTTGGATAAGGCAGTCAATTATTTGCTTAGATTACTTCAAAATCTGCATATCTTACAACATTATAGGACTTTTACTTATTTGTATAATAATTGTTGGCTTAAAGGACAATGGTGTTAATGATGAGCCCAATATTATACACAGTTTTTCAATACGTAAATTATTTCTCAAATCGCAGATTATCCAAACTTTATTGTAAGCTGAAAACTAACTTAATCCAAAAATCATGGCTTTGTTACTTTTAACAACAAACAAGAAAGTAATGTCAATGTTGTACAACTTCACTGCATTAAATAGATAAATAGTGGAATGATCTACTTACTATTACTAGATGTACAGGACACTGGTTGCTGATGATTTGAGACCTGGTTTAAAAAATAAAAATAAATTAACAAGTGGGAGGGATTATCTAGAAAAATAATCCATGCTGTAGTTATAAAAAGGTGTGTCTGTGTGTGGGGGGGGGGGGGGGATGCTCTAACATATGTTTGAAAACCTATACTACAGGTTAGTGGTTTTTGTGGACAATGCAGGATAAAAAGTAGTAAAGGCCCTCTGTAGTATTGGCTTATTACATGGAGGACAACCTGACATCAGGACCCTAATGTTCAACATCTTGCACTCACTATTATATGGTTAACATAAGAGTGGCTCATGCACATTAGCTTCCAGTCCCACTCACATGGACACTTGAGATAAGTGGGTTAAGGAAAGATGACTGACTCGTCACTGCTTAAAGAGACACTAGATTTGGTGTCTGGTCTCAGAAGGTAATTTTACATTTTTACAAAACTTTTGTGTGAAAATAAAAATGTGTAAAGCTGAGTGTTAAACGACAATAAGCAACAGACATCTGCTACACCTTCTGATGCGGACAGAGCATTGGTTAGTTATAACATAAATAAATAATTTTTAAAAATCCCACAAAAATAACAACAAAGCTAACCAGCTCTTAAGAACTAAAAAGGATGGTGACATGCATGACTAGTACCTCTAATAATTTAGCTAAAAAAAAAGTAAAGATAAATAAATGCTATGTTAAGTCAAATAAAAATGCATTTTGGTTAGTGAAATAAATGAATTGCTGTTTCATAATTATGCTGGGTTTAGCTTAAACATCTGTCAATAGCAGTAAATTATTGACCAATTATTAATGTCTATCCTATTCTAAGCCTAGCTCTTGATGAGACACCTTGGACTGTGCACAAGTTATTAAACATTAGGGATGGTGGTTGTTTATTATTTTGTTACATCACTCATCAACTTATTGTGATATAAGTAATAATTTTCTTTATAGCAAAATTTCTGCCAGGCCCTAATCAGAATGGTTGCATAAAGAAGCTGAAAAAGACTTGCCCTCATTACCTTAGCTCTGATCTATTGTCTTATCTCAAGTTATACTTATAGCTTAATGGGACATTGGATTCTACTAGCATTAATTGTACAAAGTATAGAATTACTAAATATATTTGTCTCTATCATATGTTTAATAATAACATGCAATTATTTCGATCCATCATATTAACAATACGGAGTTGTCTGGTTTACATATTTGTTAATGAAATGTTATATATTTTAATTAAGTATTTATTATTTTTATTTCAAAGGCCTATTTTACTTACTTTATTTTTAGCAACACAAAGCAACCAGTTAGTGGTAGATTTCATTGGAGAAGACACAAACAAATAATTCCTGGAACTCATTAAACCATGTCAGGTTGTATGGAGGCTAAGTTCATGCCAGTAATATTGCCCTAACTAACCCCTACAGCGCAACATTTATACCTGAAAGTGCTTCTGTACGCTGTAGGTTAAATCTTATACTGCTTTACTGGAATGCCCTGCTATCAAAAGAGGTTTTGTTACACACAATACTGGAGCAATTAGGCCTATATTTTGGCTTTATTATTGTATTATAGCCCATACACAAATAGAACTAGTTACCATTATTGAATAGACCTAACTAAAATAGTCCTACTAATAGTGACATTATATGGTATTTATTACTACTAAACAGCCTGCTAAGCCCTACATATTCATGTTTACTCTAAACATTAAGAAATGACTAGTGCTACATATTGCAGGTTAAGCCCCTAATAAAAAGGCGAGAAGGGTGCGAAAACCGCAGGTCCCATACATTTTTTGTCTTGCATCTTACCCACCCCCTGATACTAGTGCTGGATGGGGTTATAATTTGATGCTGTCTGCAAAAAGCATACCACACCCAATTTACACTTAGATGCAGACTTCAAAGACGTTTAGTTTGTATTGTTATAGCTTTCGTTTTATCTGCTTCTAGATGTGATGATTTATCAACTCCTTTCTGTTGGGTGGAACAAGAATTTGTCTGATATATCGCACTTGAAAATAAAAGCAAGCATTTGTTGTATTGTTGCAAAGAATTTTTTTATTAATCATGCCTGCTTACGGTTAAATTTTTATCATATATCAATTTTCTTGATTTTTAAAAATGTTTATTATTAAAATTACTTAATAAAAAATAAATTATACATAAAATATACTACACTTTCTATATGAACAACATCACAAAATGAATGGAAGGTATTGACCTTAGATTAACAATGTGGCTAAATATTTCTAACAAGATTATATAAACTCACAATGACCCCAAACATGTCTGTCATATTGCTATTGCTCAGGTTATGACCGATGTTTTTATATGTACTAACTCTGACCCTTCAAATAGTAGATTTTCCTAGCACTGACAAGAAAATGTAAGCAGTTGATCATCGGAATAATGATGTTAAGATTTTTTAATATAAAAAATAATCTAAACTAGATCCAGAAATTTAAAATAAAAAAAAGAACGTCACTCGTGATAGACTATATCTAGATCTACTCGATTAAGTTTATAACTGGAGGAAAAACACAGTACCAAAAGCATAACAAATAAAATGTCTAGCATGATTCCACAGGCATGTCTCGCATTTTCAAGCATCACCAATTTACATATCGCAATTAACAAAAAACCCGATGGGGTTGACAGCATTTTAAAAAAGGCATTAAACTAAACTATTTTATTAAACTGGCTATTAAACTATTTGTGACTGTGGTATTATGTAGAAAAGTAGAAAACTATATGTTTGAAAACGCTGACTCAACTGTCTATGAGCTACTTTACAAAGTTTACTGCTTTAGATAATAGATATAGATCTAGATCTAGGCTGGTCTAGACTGAGACTAGACTAACCTGCCTAGAATCTTTGTCTTTTGTTTTGATCCCTTAAATTTTACACAAAGAGTTTAGAATTTAGATCTAGATTCTAGATCTAGATTGAATAAATAAAACAATATTACAAGATTTGTCTTGAAGTGAAGATACTTCAAGATAGGCCTAGAATCCTAGAGTAAAGTTCCACGCGCGGTCACACATAGCGAACTCCCGACTTTCATCGGGCGCTATTTTGTAACCGTTTAACACAGAAACAAACCCAAAGTACTATATTATTCCTCTGCCTTTCTACTCTTAATATGTATCAATCATTTTATATTCCTACGCATTGAATTTGAGATATTCATGTTTTAGTGACGTGCTACTTGCGATATTTTTTTCCCCTCTTTTTTTTTTCCCTGCGGCCATCTGAACCGGCTTGCGTAACGATCGTGTTTTATACGTTTTTATCCTAGTTTAATAAATAAAATAAATATTTTACACTTTTAAACGTGTTGTTGATTGTATTATTAATTAATAGATTTCAAAACCAAATTAAAAACATGTTAATTAAATTAATTAACGACATTAAAAGTTGACCCAGTGATGACTCAAGGGACGCAACTATAATAATCATAACAAAGGGACGTAACAACCATTGACAAGACATAACGTAACATTTGCTTAGATATGCTTGTATGTAGAGACACAAACTAGATTTAGAAGAAGTAGATGATCGAAATAATTTAAAACAGCAGAAAAAAATAGAAATTATACAGATTCTAGGCTTAGCTTGAAATGTAGAGCATCTAGAACTAGGCTAGTCTAGCTCAAGTCGTTGGTTACGCAGCGCGGTGAAACCACCCAAATCGACACCCAAGCTGCGGCCACCCTTATTCACCTATCAGGTTGCTTTATTAGCCTAATCTATCGTATGTACAGTGTCCCGCACATATTGTAGAAGCTATTTATAGTTAACCTAGTTATAAAAAGCTTTGATTGGTTGGTTTATTCATCTCATCCGGGACCTAGTGTTTTTCATACGGGGAACTAGAATCGCCTTCGACGTCATACCTCGAAACTTTAAAATTTAAAAACTCGACTTCCAGAAGGAGAAAAACAAAAGAATTTGACCTGGATATATTTAGAAATGGACAGGTTTACAGCAGATATCGGTAGTTTCGTTTAAAACATCAAAACAAATATTGTACGAAGCGATAAACAGGCGATGACCGCACCGGTGTTTTAACCGCGCGTGGAACTTTACTCTAGATATCTAGATCTAGATTAGATCTCTACTGCTTGATAAAGATTTCAAGTTCTACTTTAGAAATCTAGAATCTAGTCTTAGTAGATATGTGTCTAGAAGGCTGAAGAATACTGAATTAGTAACTACTGATCTGAAGATTAAATCTAGATTAATATCTAAAATTAATCTTCTAACGTCTTTGTCAAGATTAGATTAAAGAAAGATTAAAATAAACAAAGTGGGGTTAAAACAAGAATGTGAAAAATCTCAAAAAGAAGTGGAAACAAAAGAAACAACATACCAGAATAAAAGTCTTAGCTGCTACAAATCTACAGAAGGTAGAATCTAGTGGCTAAAATAAGCTAGTCATTGCAAAATGATAATATTGTTAATAATATGATGGCGTAGGCCTAGCTCACTAGCAGTCAGGATTTTAGTTGTAAAACACTTTACTAAAGTATAGAGTTCGATGTTAGATTGTTTTGAGTGACATCCCCATCGCTGGAGCAACGCATGCGCGTATTTACGTTTACTTCAAGAGAATACGGACTTCCGTCAAACTTCCGCACCTTACACGCACAATTTTATTGAATAAATAAGTAGAATTTCAAAATTAATGTAATTTTTTAAACAGCTAAGACCACAGAAAGAGATTGAAACAAATATAAAGAACATTTCTCATCTGATAACAACAACAAATTATTTTTCATAGTTATCTTAATTTTTGCCTCTATCTGTATCCCGCGATAGCTCAGTTGGTAGAGCGGAGGACTGTAGATGATATCAATAGCGATCCTTAGGTCACTGGTTCGAATCCGGTTCGCGGGAACTTTTTTTAGTTTGGCATTTGATAATATAAAACAAAATATATAGTCTTAGATCTTTCGAGTTAATATATTAACTTTATATTTCCAATGAGGTCAACTTTTTAAAAATGATTGTTTATTAGATATTTTCAGCTAACGAATCAACTAAATCATTCCCCCCCCCTCCTGGAATGGGTATCGTTAGGAGCAGTGGCGTAGCTAGGATTTTTGGGCCCCTATGCACAAATTATTATTTTGCCCCTACGTTAATCTGTAAATTGTGTGTTTTATACGTCCATCGTTGTGTATTTTTACGGAATTATTATGTAGTACCCCGTAGCGTAAAATATTTTTGATTTTATAACAGAGAGTTGAGAGGGGAAGAGATGCAGGCTTGTGACGGTGGGGGTAGAGAGTTTTTAGCGATGCGTATACATTGGCGGATGCCTGATGCAAATCTCACAAAAGAAGCAATGCTCAAGTTTATTTATAGGTTAATTCTCTCAACGGCTTGCCCGACAATACAACAATGCCTATAGTGTTATTAATACCGATGGGCCTTGTACACCCCCCCCCTCCCCAGTAAGAAAGGTTTGGGGGACCTTTTTGGCATTTTTTAAATTACTTCTACAGTAGAAAAGAAACTGGATTTCCGTTTTTAAAAGATTATTTTTATAATATAAATATTAACATTCCTATATAAAAGTTTTTAACAATTTAATTAGGGAAAAGGGTCCCTTTTTGCCTTGGGCCCCTATGCCTTGCTTACCCTAGCTTTACGGTAGCTACGCCGCTGGTTAGGAGGTCTCACTTGGGAAGGGGGGGGGGGGGTGTTGGGAGTTATCGCTGACAGGTGCGTAGTCCTGCAGTCGGCACTTTGCTGGAAGGCGAGAGGCCAAGCAAGAATTATTGGCGTCGATATTTCGTAGATAGCCTTATTTCACACTCGCGGAATTTTTTTTGTTGGTGGGATATTTTAAAAACAAAAACAAAGAAAAAAAAACTTTAGAAATCTTTTGCTTGAACATCCGATATCAGAATAATGCTTTGTTATCTGTATTATGTCATAGCATCCTTTTGCTACCAGGTAGATCTATGACACAAACAGAACAAAATTGACCACCAATACCCGTTGAACGAAAATAGTAATTCGTGCTTGGTTAGGCAAAGAGTTATTTTAAGGATCAAGATTAAGGGAAGTAATCCACTGCTAAAACAAAAAAAAATACTGTCCGCTTTATTTCCCTTGTGTTTAACTTAAATTTTATTAAAAAAAATAAATAAAAAAAATAAAAAATAAAATAAAAGGTCAGGTCAGTAGCTTCACACCGCGGGAGTAAAGGTGCGGATTGCGACGGGTGACACCACACAAGGGGGCCACACCACAACAAAATAAAGATAATTCTAAGTAGAAAGTCTGCTTTTCCAGACAGTACAATGATGTTATTCAGCTTTGTACTGTTACAGTCAAGAGAGTGACACTATTATTACTACCAACAACATGGCCGGAGTTAACAAGATCACAACTGGCCTTACAGGCCTTGCTGTGTCCAAGCATCCACATCAGTCGTTGGGAGTGTTGTATTCAACAATTTTGGGAGTTTTACAGAAAATGCCTAGTAATGCTGGATACCGTAAACATACGGAACAAATTATTAATGAACGTTTAAGTTTAGTTAAATTAGATTGAGATGTATCAAAACTAGAAAGTAAAATCAACTGTGGACAGATTCAAGAAGTTATCAAGCAGGCTGAAAGGGAGTTATCCTTGGCTCGTAAAATGCTGCTCTGGAAACCATGGGAACCTCTTGTTGGTCAAGCTCCACCAAACTAATGGAAATGGCCTCTACCATAGATGTTATAACATTAATACTTTTAATACTTGTTTATAGATACTGCTAGTGTTTTTTTCAGTCAGGTTACAAATGATGTTTATAGAAAATTAGTTATTATAAGTTGTTAGAAAAAGATGTTTGAGTATTTGTGAGTTATAGTAATATGCACTGAAAGTGATGGATGATTAAAATTCTCTTAAAAAGTCAAAAAAAAAAAAAAAAAAAGAAAAAAAAGACACTATTATTACTGTCGGTGACATCAATTTAACCTAAATTAAGTTGGTGGGGGGGGGGGGGGGGGGTGGAGTGGGGGACACTATGAGGTGTCACCCGACTTAGTTACGCCACTGTGTTACTCTGTAATCCATCTGATATGTGCTCAAAATAAATACAACGTTTGAAAGCTAATGAAATCAACTGATCCTAAAGGATGAAAAGAACTGTCTGTGAAATCATACAAAATGAAAATAAAGCCCAAATTACAAGTTGTATGAGAATGTTCTATTACTCAATTACACAAAATGTTACCCACTACCTCATCCAAGGTGATACAATTCTTTAGAGCAGACTTTTTAATCTTAAAATATACTTATTACAATTTGATTACAGAGGAAAGATATTTTATTAATTTTCAGTGGTATTTTGTTGAAATCAGGTAAACTACTTATTGCTCCAAGTGATAAGTTATGAACAAGCTACCTCAGTGTATGAATAAACTATCTTAGTGTATGAATAAACTATCTTAGTGTATGAATAAACTACCACAGTGCATGAATAAACTATCTCAGTATATGAACAATACCTCAGTATATGGATAAACTATCTCAGTATATGAATAAACTACCTCAGTGTATAAACAAACTATCTCAGTGTATGAGCAAACTATCTCAGTGTATGAACAAACTATCTCAGTAAACTATCTTAGTGCATTAACAAACTTTCCCACGGCATGAACAAACGATCTCAGGACATGAAGAACTATCTCAGTGTATGAATAAACTACCTCGGGTCATGAATAAACTACATCAGAGGGAAGGGGCAAGAATTGAAAGGTTTCGTGAGTGGGGGGGGGGGGGGGGTAAAAGGTTAAACACTTTTTTAATAACTATTTTTTCCTTTTCTGTTTGGGGAGGAAGACGGTAGACTTGCTACGAGGAGATGTCTAAAAGAAATACTGCTTACTGATCTTCACGACCCCGAAATAGCAACATGTTCTTCCCCCCCCTCTCTCCTCCCCCCCCCCCCATCGCCAAACGAGGAGACCCCATACGAGAGTGTGACATCACTTATGAACGACTTCAAAATTTGAATAAATTTTGAAAGTTGACTAAATCACCCGACCCACCTCTCTTTACTTTTATTACGTATATACTTTTTAGTAGACCACTTTTAACTTGCGTTTAGGTTTAAGGTTATTAAATTATAATTATGTGAGCACACATAACTGGCGTTATATTTTTTTTAGGCCTAACTCAAAGACGGTGTGTAAAAAAACATTAGAAGTTCTTGCCTAACCAACTAAACAACGGGTGGCTGTGCTGTTTTTTTATATACCAACTTGCCAAGATAAAAATAGAAACTTAGTATTGAAGCTGAAGAAAGTGATTTACAGTAGTGGCTAATGTAAGGGAGAGCACTACCATAGATGGATATTTTCACCGGTTATGGTTCGTTGCTTATTAATATCGATTACGTCTGCAGGGGGACGCAAGTCTGTAGAGACATGAACGCCTTAAATGGATAGAATTCGCAGTCTACTAGGTTTCTATATTTAAATTCAATTGTTGTATTGGAAAAATCCAAGCCTTTATTTGCAGGGGAAATGACTAGGGATTTATTTATAGCTTTGGCAGCTCTTAATTTAAAAAAAAAAATTATGTATTCTAGAACACAGTTAAAGTAAAACAAAAATTAATTTAACCGAAAATACAGCATTTTATATGAGTAAAATAAAGGAGGTTTGTGTGTGGGGGGGGGGGGGGGAGGGAGAGGGAAGGGAGGTGGGCTAGGCAATTTTAAACCACTAACTTTCTTTCTTGCATACGCTATGTGAATGGTAAAGACAGAATTATTTTCATATGTAAGTTGGGGTGTCACAAAAAAATAGACCCCCCCCCCCGCCTAAAACCCTAAAACCTCAGCCTACAACCCTCCTCAAAAATATCTAAAATACGAAATAGCGGTTAAAATTCAATTTCTAACATTACTTTTTAAAATGCAAAAGTGTGACGTCACATTTTCTGACCCCCCCCTTCATCACACATTGTCACAAAACTACTGACCCCCCCCCTTCCCCTTATGAGTGTGACGTCATTGATGGACGACTCCATTGAACGTGAAGTAACTCAGAATATCAATGACAGTGTGCCTGGGTCGGTGTAATCTAAGCAAACATGTTAGATAGACTAGGGTTTTATCACCTGATATCAGCCGGTTCATACCATCAGCTATTACTATTGCCTGTGCGAGTTGAGTTGAAATTATATCTACTAGGTTCTTTATAATCTGCACAATAGAAAAATAGATTTAACACTAACAGCTTCCTCGTTTAGAAATATTACAAGAAATGTTTCGACCAAAGGTCTTCTTCAGCACATAACACCGCCGAAAATTGATAATGTGAATAACACAGTAAATATATAAAATAAGAGAACGTGTTTTTTGTAATAAGTAATGTCTTTAGCTTTACTTAGGTTAATATGTGTGCCTTGGTGGTATGTTTTAGGTGGGATGTGTGTTTGTGGCGGGATATGTATGTGGTGTAGTGGATGTGTGTGTGTGTGTATTTTTTTGTAGTGGGGTGTTGGGGTGAGGGTAGTTTTTTCTCTCTAAGATTAATGTTAAATTAAAAATGAATGTACTGAAACTGAATAAAATAAAAGTACCATTGAAGCTAAGAAGGCTGAAGACTGAAATGTATTAGCTGTGTTCAACTGAGTACGAAGCGCTGTTTTAATACACCTTTAATGGATCCATCAGATATGAAGTGTGGCTGTATTATCTGATACGACAGGCGGATGTGTTGACCATACACCGATAAATGCAACACGCTGTGGTGTTGTTTCCTAAAAAATAAAAAAAAAATACACACAAACACACACGCTATATACCGTATACCACTTCCCTCGCATTATACAACAAATTCAGGCACTCTCACGAGAGCTACATTAATATGATACACTCCAACCTGTCTGGACATTTTTTAAACGACAGGTAAATTCCATCACTTTATAGAAAACCAAGGGTAGCGTCTTTATCAGCCCAAGTAAAGTAAATTACCTTTTCGAATCAGTTCACCATTTGAGTGAATTCGGCATATGAAAGGATAGTGTGGTCAGCATTATGCCTACGCACTTTTACTTCCCCTAACGTGAGTCTGGTACCCATTAGAGCTGGGTGGACTCAGTGGCGTCCTGCTGACACAAACTTGGGATTTGAGTCTTGATCAGTGACAATTATTAAATTGTTAAATTGGATGAAAGAACGTGAATATTCAGTTATGTCAAACAATTCTATACACTATTAAAAAACCCAGTAATTTTGCTGTTATTTTTAGTTTTTTGGAAAAAGCGATATGAAAACAGCAGGCTTGAAACTATGCTCTGTACCACGTTAATACATTTTAACATTGATATGCCGTCTCATATTCCCATCTTGTTACATAATATTGGGCTCTAAATAATAATTTGGTATCATTACTTTTCTATAAATTCTATCATTACCTTTTGTTACATATTTTTTCATTACAAAACATAGCTTTACATTAGCAAATATAAGAAACAGTCTAACAAGTAGATTGTGACAGCACATTGTAAAACGTGACATAAGTTTTTCAAAGGGCAGACAAACATGGACAACGTAATGCTGCCAGCTTAGTCAAGGGACACAAATCCGTCATCAATATGATCGTCATCATTTATTTACCTTGTCAGTTTTATTAATACACACTACAGCAAATTACGGCACATAGCTTGGTAATGTTTTAAACACAATAGCCGAATCCTTATAAGGACATGCGATTCATTGCCTTATAAGGCCAAGGGATACGCCCACTTCTGCGAACGCCTCTCGCACCGGCGTATCAAAGGTCCCATATAAATGCCGAGACTTATCGCAGCTAGTGTATTCGTGTTAGATTTGTCGCCCTTTCCGTAACACCTGCGGATATAAGAATAAAAGAAGAAAAAAAAAGTGTTTAATTAATTAGTTAATTAGCAGATCAGCAATGTGTGACGACGAGGTAGCAGCTTTGGTTGTTGACAATGGTTCCGGTATGTGCAAGGCTGGGTTTGCCGGAGATGACGCCCCCCGGGCCGTGTTCCCCTCCATCGTGGGACGCCCAAGACACCAGGTTGGTTGATGTTTTTAATATGCACACACTGCATTCACGCTCAGATGCAGAGTTCGAATCCAGGCGGGAAGATGAAATCTTAAATGTCTTTTAAGTCAAGAAAGGAAATTTAGCTGTTGGGATCAGGTTTAACTACTGTATACGAATAAAAATTAACTATTGGCTTAGTCATATCACCCCATCAAGTTTGGGATACACTTAGGGTTTTAGAAAGGATTTGATATCTATATAGATACACCAATGAAAAAAGTAAAGTTTCCTTAAAAACCTGAAGGTCTATGGGGCAAGTGAAGTAGAGTTCAGTTGTTTCGGTGACCTCGGCATATGAAGGGATAGTGTAGCCAGCACTATGCCCATCCGCCTTTACAAGTACCCTAACGTGAGTTAGGTACCCATCAGAGCTGAGTGGACTCAACAATGAAGATTAAGACAAATAATATAAAAAGGTGTTGTTGATTTTAAATAAAAAATCAAAATATATGCACGCAGTACTAATTTTAAATAATGCAGAATTATAAAACTTATTTTAATAGTCCAGACCAGTGGTTCTTAACCATTATGTGGGTACCGAACCCCGTCAGTTTCATATGGGGAATTCACCGAACCCTTTGAAATACTCAAATAGTTCCATGATAGAACTGACCATATGATCGTAAGTCATATGAGTCGGGTGTGTGTTTTGACCTCCGCCGAACCCCTGGGTTTTGATCGAACCCAGGCTAAGAAATACTGCTCTAGATCAATAGTCTTACTAGATCTAGTACCAACTAACTAACAAAAGACGATGAAATATTAACACTGCATCTGTTAACGTTTCGATCATTCTTATAATTATTGATAACATGCTTACAACATAGATGGAGTGAAACAATAAATGTCTTAATTTAATAGCTAGTCGATAGTCACTTATGTATGTGTCATCAACATGCAGATCTAGTACTAAGTTAATATCACTCATAGCGCAACTCTAAGTCGTTTAACAACATTGCCCCTTCCTCTGTTTTCTATTGTGTAATCTGTTGTATTAGTGTAACTGTTACTGTCTTTAAAGAGGCATAAAACAACACTGCTAATTGCTTTCCTAGAGCCAGACTGTTCTAACACCATTTAAAAATATTTCACAACAAAAGATTTTGTCAACATTAACATTTTTATTTAAAGCTTATTGAAGTGGAATTGTTGAGCAATAATGGTTAGAGATATGGCCATGAATGCTTTTGTCTTTAGTGCTTGGTGGATTTAAAACTTTAACGGTATAAATATATGTATATACATACATACATATATATATATATATATATATATATATATATATATATACACAATATATAAACCACATATGTATGTATATGTATACATATACATATATATATAGATACATATATATATATACATATACATATATATATAGATACATATATATATACATATACATATATTTATACATATATGTATATATACATATATATACACAAATATGTATATATATATATATATATATATATATATATATATATATATATATATATATATATATATATATATGTATATATATATATGTATATATATACATATATGTATATATGTATATATATGTAAATATATATATATATACATATACATATATTTATACATTTATGTATATATACATATATATACACAAATATATATATATATATATATATATATATATATATATATATATATATATATATATATATATATATATATATACATATATGTATATATGTATATATATATATGTAAATATATATATATACATATACATTTATGTATATATATGTAAATATGTATATATATATATATGTCACGTCACACATAATCACATATTTATTTTTTGAAAAAAAAAAGAGCCTATCTAATTTTTTGCCCCGTTAAATGATTAACCACTTAGATAACACAGTCATCAAAATGCTATCTTTGATTAATCGACTCAGTATAAAACACAGCACACATTCTGAGCACATCTGAAGGCGTGTAACACACAGTTAAAAAAAAAGGCCCAGATATTTTCCCGGTTAACTCCCCTATCCAGTGTTATCAGCCAGGAACGATAACTACGATGGGATCTTACACACTCGTGATATGGAAGGCTCCTGACTGAAGCGTACCATGGAGGGGGCGTAGCAAGTACTGACCTGTTTATCTAATAGACAAGTGTCTGATTATCGCGACATAATGAAATACAAATAAAGAGAAAAAAACCTCGTACGCCCCTACAATGTAGAATTCGTTCAATTATCGTGACTGAAATAATAATAATAAAAAAAAATTAGTCTAATTGTAATCCGGGACTATATGAATGAATGTCAACTAATACTTTATTTATAAATTTAACATTTTGATACATGGTGGCTATAGAGAACAAATGCTATTCACAGCTTGTCAAAACCTTTACATAATTAATTAGAACAATACTTGTAGTTGCATCGTTATGTAGAGCGGAAATATACCCTACAATTTAGGGAATGAAATAATTTGTAAAAATCTCCTCTAGACTAGAAATAAATTTTTTTTTTACATGAATTCTAAAAAGGAGTCTTTACTCATTTTCTATATACCAGTAGGTAAATTTTAATTTCTATATATGACTCGACTTATGCTCTGCCTATGTGTTTCTAAGAGGGTAAAATACCATTTTATTCAATAAAACATAGGACCTATTACAATCTACCCCATATAACAGTATAGAACATTTAAAAAGGCCCATATTTTATAAATATATATCTCTTGGACAGCCCCTAAAACTAAGATAACACAAAAAGGCGGTTTTAAAGATAAAATGTATTGTCATATCTTCACCGGACACGATAATAAACCGTATAGTTTGTAAAAAAGAAAAAAAAAATCCCTGTTATGCGGTTGTGTTAATTTATTCATAAAAATGATTCTAAACAGAACATCATTAATTAAAGTAGCATAACATTGCTCTCTACCACACATATTCACCCCATACAACGCAAACATATAACACATACAATACAAACAAAATTACACTTTCTGCGTAATATCTATCCTGCATTTAAAACTTCAACTTTAGCAAAATACTTGGGTTAAACAAACGAAGGAGAAGTAATATAGTATTGCTCTGTACCGCCACCAATACCATATATAGCACAGCTACTTACCATATATAAAACAGCTACTTTATATAGCACAACTACTAACCCTATATAAGCCAGCTACTTACTCTATGTAACACAACTACTGACTCTATATCAGTGGCGTAGCCAGGATCGTCTCAAGGGAGGGGGGTTCCAATTTTTACCCGGGGACGAACTTTCGATTTGCACCCCCCCCCCTCAAACTTTCGATTTGCACCCCCCCCCTCAAACTTTCGATTTGCCCCCCCCCCTCATAATTTTTATATATATACCGAGGGGTCTATGGGGGGGGGGGGTTGTGACCCCCCTTAACCCCCCACCCCCCTGCCTACGCCACTGCTCTATATAACACAACTAGTTACCCTATATAAACACAACTACTTACCCTATATAACACAACTACAATGAAAAATTCCCACTACCCCTTTTAACGACATAACCTACATACATTGCTTTACCAAAAACTACTCTTTTCCCCAGGGTGTGATGGTTGGTATGGGACAGAAAGACAGCTATGTTGGAGACGAGGCCCAGTCCAAGAGAGGTATCCTGACACTGAAATACCCCATTGAGCACGGTATTGTCACCAACTGGGATGACATGGAGAAAATCTGGCACCACACCTTCTACAATGAGCTGAGAGTTGCCCCTGAGGAACACCCTGTTCTTCTCACTGAGGCTCCACTCAACCCCAAAGCCAACAGGTGAGAGACCTAGTTTCTAGACATTCGGTGTCACCGTCCGTTGCGTTAAAAATAGGTAAAGCATTACGGTTATGGTTTGGATTAGGGTTAGGGTTTGAGTTAGGCAGAAGACTTGCAGTAAACTTGGCATTGTGGTATGGTTAAAGTATGGGTTTTAAATTGATTACGTTGAAATAAGTGTGGCTGGAATTACGATTATAATTTTGTTACACTTTTGGTAATGGCTAGAACTTCAATTAGGGCTAGATTAGTATATTGACTAAGATTTAGATCATGGCTAAGGGTAGTTTCTATAAAAATACGAATAGATAGAAAAGTGTGAGGTATACAAATCTGAAACAAGAGTACCAAACAATACGTTTTTCTATAGTCATGGCCTAGCGGTAGAGAGCTAGACTGCTAACCCGATATTCTCAAGTTTGAATCGGGGTTTAAGTCAATAGAATGCCCCTTAGTCCACACAGCTCTGATGCGTACCTTACTCACGTTAAAGAAACAAAGGCGTCTGGGTATAGTGCTGACCACATTATCTCTTCATATGCCGAGGTCTCTGAAAAAGATTAACTCTACTTCATATGTCCCATGAGTCATCTGCACAAACGTGGAAAAAAAGATAGTCATCCCAGAAGATTTCGTTTAAAACAAAAGCAAATGTTTATGATGTAATTATTTTTAACGTGTTCATCATTGTGATGATCCACAGAGAAAAAATGACCCAGATCATGTTTGAGACCTTCAACTGCCCAGCCATGTACGTGTCCATTCAGGCAGTCCTGTCCCTCTATGCCTCTGGTCGTACCACTGGTAATGATTTTATCGTATCTCTACTGTATTTTAAAACACAATTACAGACGTATTTACATAAGCTATTCAAAAGTTCATTTCATTTTAGTCTCCTCTGTTCCAACAATTTTTGATAGTAGTTCATAAAAAAATTGATATTTTTAATTTTATAAAACGGTATTTGTTTTGCGGTAAGATTTTGTTGATTTAAAAAGAAATAAATCTAAAAACAAACACTCAGCAATATTTTTAAATAATACAGCATTATAAGACCTATTTTTTGTCCTAACCAAACTGTAAACTTAAATTTTACCTTAAGCTGTAACCGTGCTTTGAAGTAGACCTCGATTAGGTATAATTATCCTGAACATAATTCAGCACAGTACTAAAAACTGGAATAGCTGAAAACTATTGCTCATTTCCTTTAAAATCAAGTGTGGCACACAAAAGTAAAGAAAAAAAAAAACAGACAAATATAAACAAGTGTTTAAAAAATAAAATTGAAATATCACCAAAGATAATAAGAACACAATTAACTTAATTAAGAAGTGTGTTTTTTTTATTACTTTAGTTAAGCTATTTTTAAAAATCTACATTTAAACTTTGCGCTTGAACTCAGTTAATATATCAGTCCATTAAAACTGTGCGTCAATCCTAACCCATGTATTGTTGGATTAGGTTTTAACTGTGAGCTTATCCCAACACAGTTATTGTTGGATTAGGTTTTAACTGTGTGCTTATCCCTCCACAGGTATTGTCCTGGACTCCGGCGACGGCGTCTCCCACACCGTGCCCATCTACGAAGGCTACGCCCTCCCCCACGCCATCATGAGGCTGGACCTTGCCGGACGCGACCTGACGGACTACCTGATGAAGATCCTCACCGAGCGCGGCTACACCTTCACCACCACCGCCGAGAGGGAGATCGTCCGCGACATCAAGGAGAAACTCTGCTACGTCGCGCTGGACTTCGACAACGAGATGCAGACCGCGTCCTCTTCTTCCTCCTTGGAAAAAAGCTACGAGCTTCCCGACGGGCAGGTCATCACCATTGGCAACGAGCGTTTCCGGTGCCCCGAGGCTTTGTTCCAGCCAAACTTCCTGGGAATGGAGACCGTCGGTATCCACGAGACCACCTACAACTCCATCATGAAGTGTGACGTGGACATTCGTAAGGACCTCTACGCCAACACCGTTCTGTCAGGCGGCACCACCATGTACCCAGGCATCGCCGACCGCATGCAGAAGGAGATAACCTCTCTCGCCCCCGCGACCATGAAGATTAAAGTGATTGCTCCCCCTGAGAGGAAATACTCCGTCTGGATCGGAGGCTCCATCTTGGCTTCTCTGTCCACCTTCCAACAGATGTGGATCTCCAAGCAGGAATACGACGAGTCGGGTCCATCCATCGTCCACAGAAAATGCTTTTAAATAGCCACATTGTGATAGTTGAGAAAAAATAGTCTGATTTACTACGAGAATAAACACAAGAAGAACAGTAAAATAAAACAACAAAGAAATAACAGAATGCCGACTATGTTTGTAACCAACCAACACGAAAGCATTATAATTTAATAAAAAAAATGCTAGTGATGCAAAAATATTTCATTAGCCTAATAATTAAATAACTATTAATTTTAAAATTTCGACACAGTAACAAAAAGATGTAAAAATATTTAAACATATTTTCAAGTAATAATATCAAATCATTTATTGTTACAACTCAAATTAAAGTCATACTAAAGTCAAACTTTAACTTCTTATCCAATTGAGAAAAGAAAAACAATAACGCCCGTAGAAATACTTTCTTCTTACTGTCTAAAAATAGCCTGTTCACGTGACAAATTGGAGAGTATTTCTTGAGCGCGTTTTGGTTTATTTTCTTTCACTGACTCTGTACATTGTTGCGTACTGTAAAAAGAAAACATGGTTTGGTTAGATTTTTGTATCGGGTTTTATACTGAAGCTAACACATATATTTATTGACATGTTGCTGAACAAGTAATAAAAGCAAAACTGAAAAACTTTATTAATGCATTTAGTTGTTTTTTCCACGATTTTTAGCATATTAGTTGTTCGTAAATCTTGCCTGAAATTTCAGGCACGGAAGTATGTGATGGAGGTGAAAGGGGGGGGGGGGGAGGTGAGTGTTTAAGAAATGCAACGTAAGATACATGTAATGTTATTTTCAAATTAAAAAAAAACCCAAGATAAAAAAAAAGCATTAAAAATAGCATTTTTTAAAAATTTGAATAACCATTATTAATTTTTAAAAATAAAAAGTAAAAATGCGAATATTATGTTATTAACTACGGTAGTCTATGGAACGTAACTAGGTAATTTATTTAAGATGGAGAGTTGTGTCCCGTCGAGGCTTGGATGAAAACTGACAACCGCGTACATGAAAAGACAACGATAGATTTACTGTTGTTGTAGTCAAAGTGATCTGATAGGATAAACCTGTTGTTAAATATTTATTGAAAAAAAAACAACATTTTTTAAAGTGTGAGTTTTGTGAAACTCAATATTAAAACCCCCCCACTATTTTAACATTTTTTAAAAAGATAAGTCGTGACCTACTTTATGGATAGTCCTGACCTACTTAAATGATAGCTCTGACCTAAATAATGCAAAGTTTCATTAAGTTGGTGGTGGGGTGGGTTAGAATGCTTGATTCAACGATTACTTAACCCACAGCTTTATTAAAACAATATTTTACGAGCAAGATATGACGACAAAAATAATTGCCGGAACACCAGTCTGATGGGTTCTGTAATTAAAAAAACCCTGGATAAACTCAGCATATTTGATGGATATATGACCTCAGGCCACACCTCAACCCCTATCCACATCCAAACGCCAGAATCCATCTTATCCCAGTATGGACTGGTCAGGAAAGACGAAACCTGTGACCGAGACAGTCTTAAAAACCCCGTTACATGGACTAGATATGATGTAATTAGCTGATGGCTGTGGCCTGACTCTTCCCCCCCCCTCTCATGTACTCCCCTCCCCTCCCCCCGGGCGCCATCCTATAGCAGTTGTCAGATTTTCTCATAAGCTATCTATATCCATTCGATCAAACGCCGCTTCCTGTCAAATCAGAATTTATTTGCGATTCTCTTACGAGTGGGGGAAGGGGGGATCTATAGCTATTTTGTATTAGATGGAAAGCGGGGGTGGGTGGGGGGTTGGGGTGTTGGTGGTGGGTGGCTAGGATAACAAATGGATGGTTGGATAAATGGATGGAACTGGGTGGATAGGTGATGGTAGAAAAATGAGATGGTTCGACGTATAGATGTATGGGTAAATGTGTGGAATTGATGAGTGGATGATTGGAGGGATGGATTGACGATGGTTGGATAGACGTATTAATATTGAGATTGGCGGTTGAACTGAACGAAGATTTGGGATAAATAATATAATTAATGTATTCTGTACTTTTCAAAAAGCTGTCCTTACCACTAAATTAGCCTTTGAACAAAAACAAACAAGTTCCCTTTTGCATCATACAAAGTTTCATTCATGTCTTCTCCTAAACTCAAACTAAATGAAACAATATCCAAACATAATAACAACTGAATGGCTTTATCACACAAGAAATAAAATTAAAAACAAAGCAGATTGTTTAATTAATTTAAATTTAACTTTCTATGTATGTTATTGATGGGACAAGGTGGTCGAATGGTAGGGCGTTCGGCTGCCATCCCGAAGGTCTCGAATTCGGATCTCGGATCGGACTTGTGACTATAAGACATCACTGAGTCCACTCAGCTCTGATGGGTACCTGGCTTACGCTGGGCAAAGTAAAAACGGTTAGGGATAGCACTGATCACACCATTCCTTCGTATATCAAGGTCAAGATACGTTAACTCTACTTCATCTACCCAAAAGGATCGCTAGGCCTGAAGAGGAACTTTGCTTACTATACATACATACCTTTTTAAAAATATTCAATTACCCTTATCAAAGACAAGAAGATTGTATTCAAAATCAACAAAAGGTTAACGAACAAACGTGCCCTACTTTCGGTTTCTCCATGCAGGAAGCAGGCTCTATCTGGTACGTTTTTTTTCCCTTCTCGTCCTGGACAAATCACGTGTTCAAAAGGTCATCGATCATTGGAGGATGGTAGCTAAGCAGAAGCACGTGCTGAAAGTAAAAAGATGCCAGGGAGAAAAAAAAAATCGAAGTCCACTTGCCGTCCGCCCAATTTTGGCGTGGTAAAAAAAAAAACTACAGGCCAAAGAGAAACTCTGTTTTTGCGTGGTATAAAGACACCGTTTTTATCGAATCCCTAGCCCCCCTCTTTAAAGATATGGACGAAAGAAAAAGAAACGGTACAATTTGCAGAAGTGTTTTCGTTGGGTAGTGATTTCGGGTAGGATTACAGCGGTCAGCCCTTTTATTTTGGTTAAATCTCGATTGGAACCACGGGAAAAGATAAACCTTCAAATAGGTAAAGATGTCTGGGCTAATGTTTAACCGTAGGGATGCCTGTTTAGATTACGAGATTTGGTGTCATACTGTAGGCCATATTGTGATTCGCATATGGCTGGAGTATCGAGTGCAATAGAACATTGTACATATGTCTGAAATACAGTTTAACTTAACCTAAGACAAGTGTAGAAAACTGTAGATATAGGACATAGCGGTAGGGCGCTAGACTGCTAACCCGAAAGTCTCAGGTTCGAATCCGGGTTCTATCAGTAGAACTTCCCGGAGTCCACCCAGGGACAGATGGGTGCCTAACACAAGTTAGGAAAACAATGGCGGCTGGGGATAGTGCTGACCACATTATCCCTTTGTATGCCGAGGTAGTTTAAACAGATGAACTCTACTTCATCTGCCCCATGCGTCTTGAGCACAATCGGGAAAATAGTTTGATTTTAACTACTTTAGCTAAGACAAGTTTTGAAAATTATAGATTTTAGTCCATTCTACTCAAATTTCCTGCGCGGTTTTCAAGCTCTGCAGAACCTTAACTATTTTTGATTTAGTGAAGGAACGTTAAAATTAATGGGAAGCAAATGATTAATTAAAGGTCATATCAATAATTGTAAGCATTTTCTATATTTAGACTATAATTTACAAAGTGTTTAATTACAGTTTAAATGATTGCCCAAAATGACGCCGTGCATTTATTTAATATATGTCATAATGGTGCTTTGCGAACAAGCACTCACCAGTATCAATACAGGATAATATTAAAAAAAAATTATGTGATGGGTTTTCCATTAAATTGGAGTGATGTGCATTTCTTTAACGATGGTGACGGTCTTTTAATTAACAACAGGGATAACGAAGGTTTAATTAAACATGTGATAATGGAACTTTGATTAACTGAAACTTAAAGTAAACATGGGTTTAATTAACATTTATAGCATAGAGTTATACGAGCCGAATACACAAGAGATAATGAGAGTATCATAAACATCAAATGATAATCTGTTTATTTAAACATCAAAGGATGATCTGTTCATATAAACATCAAATGATTATCTGTTCATGTAAACATTAAATTATTTTCTGTTCATACAAACATGAAATGATTAACTGTTCATATAAAGAAGATGATGGGTCCCTTTCACATTAGAATGATTGGCTTTCCATAACAATCGAATGTCGCTGAGCTAAAAATACCCATGGACTATCGATGGGCTTTCAATTTCTTTAGTTGTAAATTGGCTTTCAATATCCCTGGTCCTTAGATGGTCTTTTAATATCCATGAGCTATAGATGGGCTCTAAATATCATTAGGCCGCCAATAGGCTTTCAGTATCCCTGGTCCTTAGATGGGCTTTCAATATCCTTGGTCCTTAAATGGGCTTTTAAAAGCCATGAGCTGTAGATAGGTTATAAACATATAAACATCTTTGGGCTGCCGATGGGCTTTCCCTGGTCCTTAGATGGGCTTTCAAGCCGATGAATGATGAGCTGAATTCACGAGTCCAAAATTGGCAACATACGACACAGCTGAACATTTTTAAAATCAGCTATGCCAACATCTTGCCTGGCCTGGACTCTTTCGTTTTCTTACACTTCCGGTTCCGCGAACGGGCCTTACACTTCCGGCTTCCCTCTGCGAGGCTGACACTTTCGGTTTCAAATGCAAACCTTGACCCCCTGGAACCTACATCAGAACATACATATCTGGTTTCTTGAGCAGACTTTTACTTCCGGTTCCAATAGTAGACCCTAAACCAGAGGCGTAGCGAGGGGGGGGGGGGGCGCCGACCTTAGGGGGCGCCAAAATGGGTTGGAAAAATAAATTGAAAGCTTGAGAGGGGGTGCAAATCGAAAGTTTGAGGGGGGTGCAAATCATACGTTTGAGGGGCGGGGGGGGGGGCGTGGGGGGTGCAAATCGAAATCTTGAGGGGAGGTTGCAAATCGAAAGTTTGTCCCCCGGCGCCGGGAAGGGTCGCAACGCCTTTGCCTTAAACTTCTGGTTCCACGCCCCTCTTAGTAGAATGCCCATTCCATCAGCGTGATTTGTACTTAAAGTTTCAACTAAAGACCTTACCCTTACGTTTCTAACAACGGGGCCTCACACTTTCTGTTCCGCCAGGAAACCTTACACTTCCGGTTTCATCAATAGAACTTCAACTTCCGGTCCCATAAGCAGCTTTTAGACTCTCAAATCACCTCTTAGACTTGAAGGTCATCACTTAATCTCTCAGGTCACCTAAAATAAAAAAATAAAGATCTGTAGAGCTAATTTAGTAATTTGATATTTGTGTTAGTTTAGTCCTTTCCTTTTTTCATTTATCCATGAAATGATAAGCCTAGCGGTAGAGTGCTAGACTGCTAACCTGAAAGTCTCGAGTTCGAATCCGGGTACAAATCAATTGAACGTCCCTGAGTCCACCCAGCTGAGATGGGTACCTAACTCACGTTTGGGAAAGTAAATGCGGCTGGGTATAGTGCTGACCACATTATCCCTTTATATGTCGAGGTCTTGAAACATGTGAGCTCTACTTCATCTGCCCAATGGTTCGCTAGGTCTAAAGAGGATTCTTTACGTTATGA